AAAAAAAAAAAAAAAAAAAAAAAAAAAAAGAAAAAAGTGAGAAGAGTGGCTACTTTCAGGATATAAAACATTCATCCATCCAGTGACTTTCACAAGTGTGACCTTTGTATTAATCTGACCATTGTCATGTGATAGCCCCAAGCTCTGGCACTGTCCCATCTATGTGGCTTTATCTGCCTTTGATGTTAAAATTTGCTGTGTTAACAACATGATTATATTTGTGCATTCATTTATATGTTTGACGATAATTTATTAAGTTTCTACTGAGTGCCAGATAATGTGCTTAGCACTGGAGAAAGTATTATGAGCAAACTAGGCATAATGACTGACCTCATGGTACTTACACTGAGTGAGAGTCAGATATTAATAGATAATCTCACAAATATATAAAACCTACTATATATACTATAAAACTATTATAAGAATGCTACAGGAATTTACTATATATAATAATACTATAGAAATATAAGGAGTTGATATAGAAAGACTTGACCTAGACTAAAAGGTCATTGGAAGACTTCCCTATAAAATATTTGAGTTAGAAGTTGAAAGATATTTACTGGCTTTTGCTTTTATCCACTTACACATTTACTCATTTGTCCACCAAGTATTTATTCAAGACCTTCTCTATGCTAGATGCTATATCTAGAAAAAGAGACAATTTCCTAAATTCTTTGAACAGTCTTTAATTTCTTTTTTTTTTTTACACAAATACTATTGTTGTTTCAGTGAAAGAGATATTGAAGACATTGACAATACTCCAGAAAACACCATATATAAGAAAGTGGTTTTTCGAAAGTACCTCGACAGCAGTTTTACCAAACGTGATCCTCAAGGGGAGTATGAAGAGCATCTTGGAATTCTTGGTCCTATTATCAGAGCTGAAGTGGATGATGTTATACAAGTAAGTTTCTGGAACACTGCTGAGATCATCAGAGGAATTTCCACAAGCACCAGAGGGTTGTAAAGATGTATGTGGCAAGAGAGCTATCGGTGATTTGTTTATTTTCCAGAATTAATAAATAATTACATTTCTTTTCATAGACTGTTTGCCAAGCAATCTGGCAATCTTTGAGACTAAAAAAAATTTCATATTTAAAAAAAATGCTGAAAACTATATAATTGTGGAAAATCTCTCTGTAATTTCTATCTAAAGCTAACCTATCTAAAGTTAACACAGAAAATTAATATATTCAAAAGCAATTGAATGGGGTTCCACAGTAGTGGTGGTGGTGGTGGCAGTAGTAGTGCTAACAGTAATAGTAATTTAGAAATATCTTCTGGTGTTTTCTTGAAAACGTAAAGTGAAGTAAAATAAAATGAGTGAGGAAAGTAAAGGTGTCTCCATGCCCTCCAAAAGTGAGCAAGTTTCTTCAGGTGTCTTCCTAGTCCTAGTCATTTCTTTCAAAATCTTTTGTCCAGATCCAGGATTATAGCTTGCTTTTGTAAGGAAGTTTACTTTCCTCATTTTTTCTTTTTTAAAATATTTATTAAATTATACTTTAAGTTCTGGGATACATGTGCAGAACGTGCAGGTTTGTTACATAGGTATACAAGCGCCATGGTGGTTTGCTGCATTCATCAACCCATCATCTACATTAGGTATTTCTCCTAATGCTATTCCTCCCATAGCTCCCGACTCCCCAACAGGCCCCAGTGTGTTATGTTCCCTCCCTGTGTTCATGTGTTCTCATTGTTCAACTCCCACTTATGATTGAGAACATGTGGTTTTTGGTTTTCTGTTCCTGTGTTAGTTAGCTTGAGAATAATGGTTTCCAGCTTCCTCCATGTTGCTGCAAAGGATGTGAACTCATTCTTTTTTTACAGCTGCATAGTATTCCATGGTGTATATGTGCCATATTTGCTTTATCCAGTCTATCATCAATGGGCATTTGGGTTGGTTGCAAGTCTGCTATGGTAAATAGTGCTGCAGTAAACATGCCTGTGCATGTGTCTTTATAGTAGAATGATTTATAATCCTTTGGGTATATACCCAGGAATGGGATTGCTGGGTCAAATGGTATTTCTAGTTCTTTATCCTTAAGGAATTGCCACACTGTCTTCTACAATGGTTGAACTAATTTATAATCCCACCAACAGTGTAAAAATGTTTCTATTTCTCCACATCCTCTCCAGCATCTGCTATTTCTTTTAATGATCACCACTTTAACTGGTGTGAAATGGTATCTCATTGTGGTTTTGATTTGCATTTCTCTAATGACCAGTGATGATGAGCTTTTTTTCATATGTTTGTTGGCCACATAAATGTCTTCTTTTGAGAAGTGTCTGTTCATATCCTTTGCCCACTTTTTGATGGGGTTGTTTTTTTTCTTGTAAATTTAAGTTCTTTGTAGATTCTGGATATTAGCCCTTTGTCAGATGGATAGATTGCATTTTTTTCCCATATTATAGGCTGTCTGTTCACTCTGATGATAGTTTCGTTTGCTGTGCAGAACTTCGTTAGTTTAATTAGATCCTATTTGTCACTTTTGGCTTTTGTTGTCATTGATTTTGGTGTTTTAGTCATGAAGTCTTTGCCCATGCCTATGTCTGAATGGTATTGCCTAGGTTTTCTTCTAGGGTTTTTATGGTTTTATGTCTTATGTTTAAGTCTTTAATCCATCTTGAGTTAATTTTTTGTATAAGGTATAAGGAAGGGGTCCAGTTTCAGTTTTCTGCATATGGCTAGCCAGTTTTCCCAACAGCATTTATTTAATAGGAAATCCTTTCCCCATTGCTTGTTTTTGTCAGGTTTGTCAAAGATCAGATGGTTGTAGATGTGTGGTGTTATTTCTGAGGCCTCTGTTCTGTTCCATAGTTCCACCATTTTTCTAACCTCTCATGTTCAAAAACCCAGAAAGACCTCTGATTCTAAAGTAAGCTAATCTGTATTCAAACATATGATCTACTATGTCTGTGTAAGCATTCACAAAATTTCAGTGACCATTTGTTCTTTTTAAAAATGTAAGTACATAGGAATATAAGAATCTTAATTATTCTAAATTTTCCATGAAGCTATGTGAGGCAATATTCTCTCTTATGATTAGGGGGTCTTTTTTCAAGACAAACAATAATTTAACAATAGATTTAAAAATATTTTTCTCAGTTGAAGTAACTCAGGAGTCAAAAACCAGATACTACATGTGCTCACTTATAAATGGGAGCTAAACTATGGGTATAAAAAGGCAGACAG